GCCCCGCGGGGACACCTGCCGCAGAGCCCGGCGGCCGGTCGTGCGTGGCTCCCAGCTGTGCGGGAGGGACCGTGACGGGGCCATGGAGGTTGGTCCGTGCCTGTCCTGGCTGGCGTCTACTGGAGCTGGCTGGGAGGAGACATGGAGGTGCAGTTATAACACCGTTCATTCCCCCACTCTGACCCCTGCGCTGGGGTTTGTGGCCCCATGCTGCCCTTTTCTGGGCCTCAGTGTCCCTAGAGACTGAAGGCTGCCTTGCTGCTGTGGTGGGGGGCAGGATGTGGTACCATGGCTGCAGCATTCCTGGCTGAAACCAGCTCCCAGGCAAGCGCCCGGCTCGTGGGCTGCCCTGGGTCAGGGCTGTTTCTGCAACGGTGGGATGCTTTTCTTTCCTCCTCACCCTACTGTGCTGCTGCTACCAGCTCCAAACCACTCAAGGTTTGCCCCCTTCCCTACTCTCCCCCAACCCCTCTGCCCTGCTCGCTGCAGATGGCCAGCGCTGCACCATGCCCACAGCCACCTTGGAACCAACGCCGGGGGGACGCCAGCCTGCCTGGCACAGGAAGGACAGCCTGCCTGGGGGAACCTGCTGGGCTGCATCAAGGCTGGCTTGGGAGCCTGTGTCCTCCCCTGGAGAAGACGCTGATTTGCCCAGAGCCAGGCCTGCAAGCGATGCCCTGCAGCTCGGCCTTGCTGGGCACCACTGGAGGGGGACCTTGGTCTGCAGCCAGCAGATACACAGCTGGGCCCTGACCCCAGCCCTCCCATGCTAGCCTGGAAGAAGGAGGCCAGGGAGGACCCCCGGTTGGGTTGTGGCCAGCTGGTGCCGGAGGAAAAGGCTCCTGGGCTGGGAAAGCCTGAGGAATCTCTGGCTTTTCCTGGTCTGGCCAGCTGCCTGCAGGCAGGTGGGAGGCTGCTGGGCTCCTCCAAGCTCTTGGTGCCCAAGCTCCCTCATGCTCCTCAAACGTTACCTGCAGCAAAGATCCGTCCCCTGCAGCAGGGAGCCACAGCAGTGCTGGGGGAACGGGCATGGGCAGAGCAAGCAGCGGGAGGCGTGTGCCGGCATGGGAGAAGCGATGCGGGAGCAGCATCATTGGCACTGCAACAGGCTGCTTGCTGCAAGTGCTGCTAGGTGGGGAAAGCAGGAGGGTTGCAAGCTTTCAGCACCCAGGGGCTGAGGGCTGGGGTGGGTGCAGGCAGCTTCTCCACCCCATGCAAGCACCTGGCTGCCATCCCTAGGCATACGTGCAGGTGCCTTGCAGAGCATGGCCAGGACAGGGCTCTCTGCTGAGACCCAGTGTGTTGAGTGGCGAGGCAAAGCTGCTCAGCGTGCTGGGAGAGATGATGGGAACTGGCTGAGCCACCGCTGCAGTCCTCGGGAACCTCTGGCTGCATCCCACTGCTGCTACAGGGCCACACCAGTCCCACCACCCTGACACGTCCAGCATGGTGCACCCCAAGCACTGTCAGGCTCTCCTAGCATCCCTGGCAGGCTGTAGGGCACGTACAAGGCTCCACCTCCACAGAGGGGTCACAGAGGTGTGCCAACAGCCTCCTCGGTCCCCCATCAACCCCTGTGTTGTTGGCCAAGCCCTGTGCAGGCCCAGCCCTTGGGCCTGTCCCTGGAGAGCAGCAGGACTTCGAGCCCTCTCTGGCATTTCCGCCGGCAGTGCCAGGAATGTAGTGGCCACGGGAACAATGCCGGCACCTTGCACCGGTCCAGTCCATGACAAAGCTGAGCGCAGCTGCCTGGGCACAGCCCTGCTCTCAAGGAGACGGCAGGAAGCAGATGGAGATGACACCGGCAGGCGTTTCCTGAGGCAGGATGTGCCCTGCTTTCTCCACTGCTGACCCAACTGCTGAGCCAGTGTGGCTGGAAGGGACCGCAGCCATTGCTGCCTGGGCATGCCAAGAGCCCCGTGCCATGCTGTGGTGCTAGCATCCCTACAGGATGGCCAAGATTTCTGCCCCATGCTGGCAGGGGAAGACCTAAGCCCTTTGCTCTCAACCATTAGGGATGGTGAGACAGAGGCAACAGCTGGGCATATCCAACACCCAAGCTGTTCCCGTTCCCCAGGAAAGGCCAGAGCCTGTCCCTGTGCAGAGGGAGCCCTGAGCCCTGGGCCTCACCTGGTGCCTCTAGGGGAGCTGGGGGTGCCAGGCAGGGCTGCCTCTACATGGCAAGGGATGATGCCTGCCCACATTGTCCAACGGGCTTTGGTCAAGCTGCAAGGGATGACACTCCAGCATGGTGGTGGGGGGAAAAGCCCCAGTAAGTAGCACCGGGGCTGGAAAGAAGTATTCAGAGGCAGGAGATGAGAGAGAGGGAGGAAGGAGGCTGCACCCCTGGGGATGCAGGAGTGCTCAGCACGCTGGCACCAAGCTTCTGCCCAGACCGCTGGGGCAGCCTCTGAAGGTGCTGGCTCCTGGCCCCCCAGAAAGAGCCACAGCCCAAAGCCCTCGGGCTTGGAGGAGATGGGCAGCACAGCACAGAGCTGCAACTCCACCAGGCACAGCCACCCCTAGCACACACTGCAGAGCAAATGCATGAGGGATGGCAGGCTCAATGCAAGCAGCAAGGCCAGCCCCAGCCCAGCAGACCTACTCATTGCACAACGGAGGTTTATTTGGAACAAACGGATTCCCAATAAATTATGTAATTTAAAAATTAAAAAAAAAAAAAAGAAGAGCACAGGGTACAGGAGCCTCTGGCAGCTCAGCCAGGGCACAGGGAACACAGAGCGGCACAGGACGCGGCCAGGCCCCACAGGGCCTAGGCTGAGCATGGGAGCTGGTGAGGAGGCCAGCCTCTCCTGGATGCAAGTCCCAACTCACCTCACCTCCTGCAGCAGACTCCCCCCTGGCTGAGGCCACACCGCTCCTGTCGCAGCCCATGCCAAAGGTCCCAAGGGGGGTCCCTGTCTAGGCTTGTGGCCCAAGTCGGCAAGTGTTTGCTTAGTGTTTTGGTAAGGACAAGCCTTTCTTCTTGCACCCAGCAGTGCCAGCCTCAAGGGGGGGTCCCCCACCCCACCCCACGCTCTGCCTTACCCTAGCACATCAGCCCCCCACATGACCATCAGTCCCTAAGCTCCGAGGTGGATTCATTTTCCCTCACCTCCTGCTTGCAGCACCTCAGGAAGAAGGGAAGGACAGCAGCCACCACCACCCTGGTCACCCAGACCAAGTCCTATCCCTGAGGCTCATCAAGCAGGGCTGGGAGGGACACAAGCTGCATCCTGTTCTCTCCATCCTACTCAGTGCCTGCACACACGGACAGACCTAGAGAAGCTGAGTGTAACCACACTGCCTGAATCAGGGTTCTCCAGCAGCCAGTCACAAATCCAGATGTCCCAGAGCAAAGCTAGGGCACAGGAGAAGGGAGAGGTGAACAAGGCCAACACGTCAGTGCCAGAAAGCCAGAGCGGGAGAAAGCCTGGGTGCCAGAGCCTTACAAACCAAAACCAAGGGAAGAGGATAACACACTGCTGGAGAAGAGGAAAGAAGCCAGATGTCCAGTTAACCCTCCTGGCACAGCTGCTGTCCTTCCATAGCACAGTGATGGGGTAACAGAGCGAGCTTGGTCTGCTTCAAGGCAGAGGGTGACATATGACGAATGCTAGCCTAGGACAGAGCGCAGGGCACTGACCAGTAACACCAGTACATACCAGCATGCATGCCTCACCCACCTAGTGGCACGGTGTGTAGGCTGAGCACCAGCCAGCTCTGCCCCAGCCCTCCAAAAGCACCTGCAGTCTCTACCCTTCCTAGCAATGGGGGACTTGGGGGAGGAAAGGAGAGAGAAGCACGGCTAAAGGGAACTGGTGACACTACCAGGGGAAGGCCAGGCTGCTGGCACAGTGCTTCAGCACCAGCAGGGCCACCTAGCTCCTAGAGAGAAAGCAGAAGGCTCCTGACTTGGATGGCAGTGCAATGAGCGTGCAGGTCCTCTGCAGTGCAGGGTACAGCAGCGGGAAGGAGAGGAGAACACTTCCTTTCTGACTGTAAACACGGCACTTTGAATAGCCCAGAGCCTTCCAAACTTCAGGAACTGTCAGAGGCCTGACCTCAGCACAGGGCCCTACAGTGCAGGGCCCCAGCTTTGGCACATATGTAGGGGTCACTCCTCGTCCCCTGCAAGCAAGAAGCCGAAGAGGAAGTTGATTGCACGCTGGCGGTCTTGCTGAGTCTGTTTTGCCATCAGATTGGGTGGAGGTCGCAGGAGGAGGCTGGTGAACAGGGTGGCTGCACAGGGAGGCAAGATTCCATTATCAGACAGGAAAGGAGACCCTGAAGGGCTCTGGGGAAGGGGTTACATTTCAGGGACAGCAGCAGGAGGGGAGCAGACAGGCTACACACTTACCAATCATGCTGGCACTGACATTGTTGTCTTCTGAGTATTTGAGGAGCTCCCGGAGAAATGACATTAGGTATCGAAACACACTGCGATGGCAACGAGGCAACTGAGAAATCACCTGCAAAGAAACAGGAACAGGAAGCTCTCTAAGCACCCATCACTCCAGCTGCAGCAGCCTGGTCTCAAGATGGGTAGCCTTCCCCCTCCTGCTGCCTCTGGGCCACTGTATGACCACAAATGCAAGTCATAAGCCCAGAAGGAAAGCAATAAGCCTCTGGCTGTAGCCTAGGGATGATGGCACTCACAGGCTTTGGCTCCTGCTAATGCTACTTACAGGCGCAACTAGGAAGGAACCAGCACAGCACTCTTTTCTGCTTGTCTCCCAGTCATATCTCAGTTCTCACCTCCTTGGCTGCACAGCAACAGCACAAGGATCAGGATGAGAGGTTTCCCCAGGCTAGCACTGAAAACACACCTGACTTCTTCCTCTGCCCACGGACACTTGCTTGGTCTCGCTCTTTGCCCCACCAGCTATTTCAGCAGCTCTGCTCAGTCACAGTTCTTAGCGCAGGCACAGCAACTGCAGCTCTTAGCAGGTGCTTAAGCCCTTGAGACTGATAGAGGCTCTTCCACTCCCTGGGGTTGCTAATCCCTGTTTGCTCAGGGTGGCACAGGGCACATTTGGAATCTCTTTGGAAGCCACTAGCTCTCCCAGGACTGCTAGGGAGTGCTGCAGTGCCTCAGGAGACACCTAAGCCAATGCAGGGCAGGAGAGCACTACCAGAGCACCCACACCATCCTGCCCACCATGAAGGAGCTCAGAGCACCTGCTCTCAAAGCTGCCTGCCAGCCCATGGGAAGGGAGCAGGGTCCAGCAAATCCAACTAAGCCAGAGCTCACAGGAACAGACAGAGAGGAAAGCTACCCAAAACCTGCACTGTGGGGACACGGGGATGGAGGCAGCACTGCACCTGTCTGCACAGCCGGCTATCGTGTGAACAGTCGAGGCATCGCTGATACAACTCATAGCATATCACCGGCTCCGGCAGAGCCTCTAGGAAGATGAGGAGTGCTTCAGCCACAGAGTGGTTACTGCCCGCTGGGTCATGGGGAGTAAAGGGGCATGCTGAGCAGCTGGATCCCCTTCCTCCCCCAATCTGCTCCCTGCCTCACCTCCTATCCATTTGCTTGGCCTCTGCTTCTTCCTTGCAGGACTGCACTAAGCTCTGTGCCTGCTGACCTGCTCAAAAAAAAACCCTGATACCAGAACCACCTTCCTCTGCTCTCTCCTACCCAGGAAAAAAATGCTGTTACACCCACCCAGCACTGCCTTTGCTCACCAGTCCCTCCACAATACCTCCAGCCCCACCGAGCTGCTCTGCTTCACTAGCTTGATCATGCTCCCCCAGGTGCCCATTCTCTAGTACTTGGTACAGCCTCACAGCAGCCTCCAGCTTCCAAAATTTTGCCTTCAGCTTTGAGAGACATCATCTGTAGGGGGAGAGAGGGGAGCCAGGCCTCCAGCTGGGATCCCGCCAAAACAAAGTCACAGACAAGCTCTGCTACAAGGGAGTTAGTCTGCTCCTGGGAAAGTACAGGTCCAAGAGGTGGGTAAGCCAGGTTCAGCAAGGATACGGATTGTCTCAGGGATACTGGTGTCCAGGCAGTCGATGATCTGCTGCAATTCCTCCTGCATGCCTGGAGTCTGGAAGAGGTCCTCCTGCCAAAGACAGTGGAGTCAGCACAGGAACAAACAAATTCGCCTTCCCCACAGATGCTAAGAGAAAGCTGGTACCCTCAACTAGTATCTCAAGCATAGAGGAGAAATCTTGCCTTATAAAAAACAAATTGGGGTTGACCTCTAGATGCTACTGATGGTACAGTAGCAGGCTCCCAGGTCACCAAGCCCTGAAGAGCTTCACTGTACAGGAAAAGGCCCTCTCCCTCACCTGGTGGCAGGCATTCTTGAACAAGTGGTCCACCAAGAGCCAGATTTCCTTTGGCACCTGCAGCGGTATCTCACTTGCCTCCTCGCTGTCCAGGGAGCCCATCTGCAGAACTGATTTCTCCTGGTGGCAAAGAGCACAGTTTCAGGAAAACCTCATTCCCTTTGTTAATGGTCTTGTGAAGCATGCCTAGAGAGGGAGAGAGTGGGACGCAGGACTCATCTGGCCATTACCTGCTTGTACAGCACAGAGCCATTCCACCATTGATCCCAGCTCCACTCCTTCCCACTGCCCCACAGAACCACAGCAAACAGTTTCAGCAACACCTCAGGAGAGCTTCACCCCAAATGGCTCCCACAGGATGGGAGGCAATCCAAGAGGCAATCCAAGATGGCCTGTTCACATCACAACTTCCATCCTGCAGCTGATGCTCTAGCAGATCAAACATTCTCAAGTCCCCCAATTGCTTTAGCTTCCACGTTTTAGGCTAAATTCAACTGCAGTTCCCTGCTCATCTATTTGATCTCATCTGGATGTTGAGTCAGGGATATTCATTTACTGGTTTCTGTGTGCTCTGACGATCTGTTCTCTAGAAAACTGAACTGAGTTTAGTGTTCAAAGTTTCTTCACTGAATTATTTTTTTAAGGAGGTCTCTGCTGAAAACAGACTACCCTCTTCGCATTGTCATATTTTCCTGCTTACTCATACGAGGCAGCTGACTTTGCTCAACTTCTTGGGAATCTCCATCTACATCACACCAATCTTTAACAGGATCAACGTTTTCTTGTCTCAGTTTATTCTCATTTTAGTCATTCATGTTTCCATGTGCTTCCAAGAAGAAAGCCAGACCCAGGTCTCCCGAAGCACATTCGGCAGAGCCACCAAGAGACTGGCACAAGCAGGAACACAACCCAAGGACACCAGCAGAGAGGAGTGCCACAAGCCAAATGCAAAGCGCTTAATTTTTGTTGTCAGCTTACGTTACATCCATGATCTCTGCCCCTCCGCAGCATGCAGTCACCAACACCCAGCATGGGCTGGGTCTGGCTTCCCCTAGCGTGGCTAGGGATACCTCAGATCAGCACAGGAGTCCCTCCTGACAAGAGGGCCAGCCACGCTAGCTCCATAGCACAGTACAAATTTGCCCCCATGCACCACTAAATTTTACCTAGCTGGAAGATGCTGGGTCATGGCTACACATCTGCCTCATCCATCCAAGCATACAGGGAAGGATGGCGAGCAGCATGTTAGGCAAAAGTGAGTGCGTTACAGCTCTCCTCCAACAGGGGAAAGGCAAGACCTGCGGACCCTCATTGAAAGCTAAGGGCTCTTCAAGAGAAAAACCCCACTCCATGGCATGGGAGGACTGGTGTTGAGTGCCAGAGCAGCACTTGACCCCATCAGGTTGCCCAGGGTACGACTCAGAGACATGCAGAGAACCCCAAGGCAGGAGCCTCCCCAGCTCCTCAGGGCAGCGGCGGCGGCGGCGAAGACACAGGGCTTTCAGCTATCTTTGTGTGTTGGCTGGGCATCGAGCGCCCTCTCCTGCCCTGTGCGAGGAGGAGAAAGGAAGTCTCATCTCTCCCGCTGTTCAGGAAGGGAGATGTTCTGCAAAAGGTTGTTCCCAGCAGACAGGCACCAAACTTCCCTTCCTCACGATCAGGAAAGACTGAGGGCTTTATCTGGTTCAACACCTGAGTCTGATACCTCTTGGAGAGGAGGACATTCATTTCCTCTCTTATTTTACTCCGTCACTGCACTCACAGCCTGGAGAGGGAGAGAAGTCACCCAGCCTGGGAAGCTCACACAAAGTCACTCACACTGGTTACCAACTGGCACAGGGAGGAGAGCAGGAGCAATACTGCTATGCACACAACAGCATCCGTCTCCCACCTGCTCTTCGAAACACAGGTTTGACTCATTTAGCCTCCAGTGCAGGGCACAAGTGCAAAGCAGTGATCCTGCTTAAGCAGCGTGAGCTTTGCTGCTTGAGGAAGCAGAGAAACTCCTGTCTCCTACATGAGGCCCTCCAGAGGCCTCCATGAGGACATGCCAAGATGGAAACAGCAACAGATTTCAGTTTGCTAGCTGAATCCTCTCCCTATACGCTTGAAAAGGCTGCTATGGTGAACCCCATTTTGTATGCATGGATAGCACTAATACAGATATGCCACAGGTTGCCATTTTTTTCTGGAAAGATTCATCTTCTGTGCCTGGATCATTACAGAATGTTTTTTGCTTAAAACAAATTAGGTGAGCTTTAAGCAGGTCAGCTGGGCTGGTCCCATCTTGGCTGCAGGGTCACTTTGTGCTCCTACATTTTCTCATCTGTTCTGGGCCCTCAGCTGCAGTGAGAGGCTTTGCTGGAACGAGCACTCCCTGCTGGACCCACCTTCCCTTCCCTCTCCAGTAGAAAGTAAGGAAAAAACTCTCCTGCTTCACAAACACAAGCAAGAAACAGACTTCCCCAGGAATCGCTTGCATTACCTTTTCTAAGAAGCTGTCTTCTCCCTGAGAGCAGAGTGAGAAAGAGAGAAGAGGAAAAAGTATCATTAACAGAGGGAATGTGATCTAAGATTAAGCAGAAACCTAATTTGCATTGTGAGAGCCCACTGAATGCCAGTTCCTTCACATATTTTGCTGACACGGCTGAAGTTAAACCTGCAGCAGGAGATTTGGCTGCCAGTTAGCCGAAATCCTGCTCACATGATGCATAACTCCGACAGAATTTCTATGAAATCCTACCAGCGGCCTTGCAGTTGCACTGCTTACTAGCTAGTAAACATTCAGGCTGCAGGCAGACGAGAGGCATTTGCCAGGAAGAAGTCCCCATTCATTCCCCTTCTTGAATCTTCCCGATCAGAAACAAATATCCTTGTATTAGTGCAGCCATCTTCCCTTGTGATCAGGCCTGGCAAATGTTTTATCTCAGGCTAAAGCTGTATTTCGGAGTGTGTGGCAGCTGTGTCACTGACAGGCCCCCTAAGCAGCTTTGTGTATAGTCAGGAAAATGAACGGTTGTGCTCAAAACCCCACGCTGCTTGTCTGTCTCAACCTAATAGCATTAACACTCTGCAACTAGGAGCATGCCAAAGCCCCCTCTAGGCTGCGTATCTGATCCCTCAGCCAGTACTGAAATACAGCATCCATCTATCCGTGCAGTGTGGGCTGGCAGCTTAGGAGCAGTTCAGCTCCATTGAACAGTGGAGTTCAAAGGCGGAAACGGAAGCAGGTTGCCCAAATTTGAGTTTTGGTGGATAAACCTTTCAGTGTGGGAGCAACAGAAACCTGTTCAAGGACTGAGCTGGAGATGTAGCTGCAGCAGCTAGGAGCATGTCTCGATGAGGCAGGGAGCTGTGTCTCAGGCTCCCTCGCACCTCCTGCGGTACCTGGCTCCTCTGGAAGCTGCCCATACGGACAGGCTTGCTACATGTTAACACAGCCCCAAAACAGACTGGCCCCTCAGAGAGAGCAGCTTGCTCCAAACATGAGCTAGCGCAGGGTCTTCTTCCAAGACACAGGGGGAGGGACTACAGTCACAGGTTTGGAGACACCGCATAGCCACATTGCACAGAAAGTCTTATTTCATAACTGGATGAGTCATCTCAACTGCCTCGCTTCTACCTGACTGCTCGCCCTGCTGTTCACCTCTCTTCCTGTAGTGCTCAACACTACTAGCTGTGGGAGACTAACCCGCTCTTGTCAAAGACTGTTCAACAGGCTTTTTAAAGTCCACAGTAGGATCCCAAGAAAAAAATAGGATGCAACACAAATACTGAAATCCCAAAGGAAAAATGCTTGAGTACCTGCAGCTTCTCCCAGGAGGACTAAGAGAACCGTTTCAAAATAAGCTCCCACCTACCCTTTGCTATCCTGCACCAAGCTGGCTCTCAGGCCCTTACTGCCCTCTTGCACCCTCTAGCTCTCCCTCTGCTGAAGATAACCTGCACAGTCCATCCAGGCTGAGAAGTCTTTGATGCAATAAATAAGCCCTGCCACTATGTAAGTGCAGGGGAGAGAACGGCTCTTAATACACAAGCACTTTTCCTTCCTCATACACAGCCCAAACAACTGCTAAAGGCACGTAATTGGACCAAAATGCTTCTGGGCTGCACAGTGGTTAACGCATTCACCAGTTTTCCTTGCAGAAAGTGCTCAGCTTTTCCTGTCTCAAAAGAATTTCCTCAACTCACAGGTACGGTCAAAAACAACAGACCTAAAGTAGTTCTAGCATGACAGTAGCTTTATAACCTAAACTTCTAAAATTTGCTTTGCACGCTTATATATTATATTCCTTGCGATTGCTTAACGTGTCCTGACTGAAATACGGCAGTCACATTGACCTAACACAAGAGACTGCTTCTTTGCTGTGGATATTGGGACAAAGTGCCTTCATGTTTTGCTCCTCTCAGATTGTTTTGCTTCCTGTCCTCCTACAGGCTTCAATGAATAACAGTAGAGGGAAATCTAGAGGTAAAGGAAGCAGAAGAGATCTCAAAGTATTACTTTACTATCTGACGAATTGTAAAGTGTGTTCTCAAAGGCAGAAGCTAAGAGTCTAGGCCTAAGTTCTTGTCCATCAAGAGAGAAGTCAGTGTGTAGCACTGAGCAGGAGAAAGCAAGAGCAGAAGCTGCCAAGACTGATGAAATGCTCCAAACCAAGCTGTACGCGTTTCTAAAACAAGAAGAATGATTTTGAATAGGATCCTGAAAAGTATGAGGAGCTTGAGGCCTAGATTAGTCGTTTGAATTGAGGAGGCAAAGACTCTGTCTTGCCACCTGGATTCTGTTTAGCCTCACCTTGGGATTACGTAATAAAATTTCTAGTATGAAAATGGTCTTTTTACATATTGGGCCTGCGAGAAAAAAAAGCCACTTACTACAAAAGGTGGAAGAGTCAGCAAGAGCGGTGGCTGTAACTGGTCAGGGGAAGAGAATAGGGTTTAAAAGCAAGAGGGAGTAGAGGCTGTCAAATCCACAGTTGCGAAAGAACAGCATCCCACTGGACAAAAAAAAAAAAAAAAAGGCACAGAAGAGTGAGACCACAAGTATAAGAGAGGAAAGGTACCAGATAAACTAAAAGAACAGAATCAGACTGAGTTAACCTTTTAGTTGAAAGAAAAAGAAATGGCTTTCTTGTCTAAACAAAAATAGGTAAATAGACAAACTCAGGAAAAACTAAACCTCACTGAAGGAAGGCCAGGAAAGACAATCACTGAAGAACAAATGCAGGCTGAAAACAAGAACTGAGATCAAAAAATGGGGTTTAATCCCAATACCAGCCATGAGAAACCAAAAGGACAAGAGATGGCTGGGACACAATTGCACCACCACGTATTCATACAAGCGGCTTCAGAAGGACGGGAATTGAGGCCAGGGCCTGACGAATCAGCCTGGGGAGAGGAGATGTTATCTCTGCGTTGCAGAAGTTGCTCACTGTAGTTACTGCGATAGGGACTGGCCAGAGTGGCTGCAAGATCGGTCATTTGCTGAGCTGTATTAATCAATACATTTAACGTTGTCAAATTCTTTTTGCTTGTCCTTCTGCTTTTTCCTTTCCCTGAGCAGTGCAAATGACACAAGTGTTCAGATGGAAAAGGGTATTGGAGTCCTCACAATTGCAAAAGTACCTAGGCACCTCAGAGGAGAGCATTTCAATCATACTTATGAAACATGAGTGTCAGAGCATATTCAGAACTTACTCAAAGAGATAGGGGGGAAAATACAGGCAGTTGAAAGCCACAGGAGAGGGGAATCATTAAAGACCACATCAAGCTCTGGAAGAAACAAGTCAGCTGAGAGTCAGCACAGCTGACCCAAGAAGGCAGCATTACTCCTGGGTTTAGGAGTAAGCAGAAGGGAATTGGCTCTCTTCCCTGTTAACAGACCCACAGGATGACCTAGCACGCTCATTCATACCAGCCTGCACTCCAGGAACACCACTACTTACCAGGTCAATGAGCTTAGTGACTGGAACTTCTCGGATTGGTCGTCTCATTCGGCACAGAGCTTCCAGGGAGGTGCCAAAGCAGCTGGGCAAGTAGGTCCCGCTGATGGTGAGAAAATAGTCCTTCCCTCGGTCCAGATGAAGGACAAGAATATCCTCAATTTTATCCTCGCCCGAGTTCAGGAGGGTCACTGAGTCCTTACTGACGTACACATCCAGGGAGATGTCTACGCTCTCATCTGAAACAGGCAGGAGCTCTCAAGAACACACAGAGACTCTCCAGAAGGAATGACACAGACAAACACGCTACAGGGACAAAGGCCACAAAACTGAGCAAGACGACAAACAGACAGACAAGGTTGATGGCAGGAAAGGTGAGACGCAGGAAAGAGCGGAAGGACTGAACACAGATGGGATGGCAGTCTACACCAGCACACTCTAGAGACAGCAGTAAAACTCAACTCACTCGGCTCCAAGTAACCTTCACAAGGCTCAGCCCGAAGCCATGGCTTACAGTACTGGCTGTCGTTGAGCTTTGGGATGAAGGAGAAGTGACAGGTGACCTGCCCGTTATTGGTGATTTGGAACTTCTGCTTCTGCAGCTGCCGGAACTTCACATTCTCAAAATCAAACTGCAGAACAAAGAAGAAACAAATCGCATTAGTACACAGAAAGGGACACACAGCTAGCCATCCAGACCCTGCAGTGGCAACCTGTGACTGGGAGGTGCCTGCACAATTCTGAACTCCTAACAGAAGACCTGCCAAGTAGCCAAAAAAAGAAGCCACTTCTAATCCAATTCCTGGTTAAAAAAAAAAAAAAGGATGAATGAAGGTCAATTTCCTACAATTCAGTTTAGTGAATCAAAGTCTTTAAATGTAGATCTAGCACTTCTAAAGCTGCCGTGTTTGGGAAGCGGACAGTGTTTCAGGTTTCATCCTCACTTCTCTCCTGCTTAGCTCCAGCGAAGGAAGGAAATCATTCTCCATTCTGTCCATCATACGAACAATGTCTTCAAATACCTTCCGGTATCTCTGCTCATCCACAACCTTTACCTGTGGAAAATCAGAAAAAACACTCAGAAACGTTTCTGACCAGCATCACAGGAACTCTTCATCACGAGTAAACTGCATCAGAAGTGAAAGATTTCACCAAGCGCTTCTTGTGTGCACCTTAGACATTAAGGGAATTTGCACAGATGCTCTCCAAAGTGACATAGGCAACTTTAAGCAAATTTCATCTGCAGAGATGTTTACCGGGGTCTTTCTGGCCAAGGGGTCACAGAAAGATCCACTACTGTGAAATTACTGCGGGTGACAGCATAGGCATCTTGCAGCATTACTCATGATTCTTCAGGGGAAAAAGGAGAAAGACTCTCCTTTAGGAGACCTGAGCTGCTCAGACAGCAGGAGCTAGCAAAAATGGACACGTACTCTATCTCTACTTAGCAAGTTAGGAACTGCGAATCTGCTGTCAACCATTCACCACCAAACAAATTCAGATGTGAACCAGTGACCCTCTCTCTTAACACATCAGAGGCAACATTACGACAGCAGACACAACTGTTTGCATGTTTCTGCCGTCTTCCCCAGTGAGGCACAGTAAACTCCTCCAGAGCTCATACTCGTGGGCAGATATCATAGGTTATATCTGGAAGCTAAGCAGCGCCATTAAAGCAGTCTATTGGATTGTCTTTCTACTGACTACAGGACCACACTTGCTAGGATAAACTCCAGCAATCACCTGCATTAATGTGACATAACACTGTCACAGCACTGCACAGCTCAGCTGCATTGCACATGAAGACCACAGTTGCTGAGTTGTTTGCTGAGCTGAGGCCAGCAAGGCTGCCAAATAGCAGCATACCTGCAAAATGAATGCTCTTTTTTATTTACTCTGTCTGCAACAGCATTCACAGAAGTGTCTTGACTACACAGTCACCTTAACGGAATGAACAATCATGCTATGATCCTGCTCTAGCATATAAAGGAAGTTACCCCAATGCGGAAAAGCGCGCTGACTGGCTTGTGATCACTAGTCTTCAGGTCCATATGACTGCGATAGCGGAGCTGACTTATGTTCCCCCCTCTCCAGAGGATTCGATCACACCATGCTGGCACACGACACTTTCCACTGCAAAGAAACACAGCTTACCACGGGAATCCAACACTCCTAATAAACCATCCAAGATGTTCCTTCTCACGGCCAGACAGCTCCCCCCACCATCAACCTCACTGCATCAACAGTGACGGAATGAATTCCTGTCACTTCCCTTAACTTGAACACTATGTCATTTCTTCTGCTTTCTTCCCATTTCCTTATACAGCAGTTAAATTCCTGCCCCTTCCAGCATCAGGAGGCAAAATCATATCAAATAGGACTGTTCCCATAGCCTAAGCCCAAGTGTACTGTGATCCAAGCTGCTCTGGTTTGTCTTGCTGCCAGATTTTACTGCACACTGCAGCTCGATCCATTGCCCATGGTTTCGACCATGGAAAGCCTACTCAGCTATCACCATCATGTTACAAAGTCTGGATCTCGGGTTATCCTTCTTCAGAATAACTGTTGTGCCGATTCATAAACACAGGCAGAGTAAAACCTGACTGCTATATGGTTTGTTTGCAACTCTTTCTTGGAAGCCTCTCCTCTCAGAGCAAGCTTCCACACCAGAAGCAGACATGTCCACAGGAAACAGAGTAAGCAGGAATCACTGTTGCTATCACAAGGCAGCCAGTCCTGCTGGTGTGCGAGTCAGGGGACAGTATGACTCGGAGATTGCATTTCTGTCCTTTCAATTCCTTTTATACTGTTCCTCTGTCTCTGGTAGCAGTAAAAAATCCTCCCAGTGCAGGCCTCCTAGGAGTTCATTCTTTATCCTCCTTCACATTTTGGAATTGATAGCAACTGAGGTTTCAAGTCATGTGCCTGGCCAACACATATCGTCTCTGCTTATTGCAGAAAGTATAGGAAATAAAGGATTACAAACCTGCTTGTCTACTCCAGCCATCACCGTAACACTGAGAAATATTTCTAGCTCTAGGAGGCAGGAAATCAAGTTCTGTGAGAAAATGCTTTTTAGGTCAGAAGTAAACTTGTCTATGAGCAGCAGACTTACCTGGAATCCCAGCGATCTGTTTTAGAGTCATACTTATATGTGGGGATGAATTTAATCTCTCCCTCGGTGAAATCAGCAAATGCTTTCTTATGAGTACGCTGAATATTCAACTAGATGCAGGAAAACAATATTTCTTAAAGGGGAGAACAGGAAAGCATAAACAACCAACAGAACCCCACACTGCACAGTTCTGAAGAGCAGAGTTATAGACAGAGCATTTGCATCCCACAGTTACGGAAATTACCACAGATTCTACCAGTCATCCTCAAAAGCCCACCTCAGGAATCCCACCTCTTTAACCAAGACAGGAATTCAGCACATCCATGGAATTTTTTCTGAACAGACTGAATACTAGTCAACACAGCACTGCTTGCCAGAGCACACAGACAGCATAAAACAATAGTTAAGGGAAATGTTACTTGTTCCACTTAAGTGTTAAATCCCTTCATTAGTTTTCAGGCCTAAGCATCGCCATCATCAATATTTTGCTGCCAATCATTTTAGCTGACAACCTATCTTCCTTTTCTCTTACTCTTCTGCCAAATTTCCTAGTCTCTTCTCACAAAAATCTAAGCTGCAATTGTTTTCTGCATGAATTTCTGCAATACAGTAAAAATGATGAATCCTGATTCTGTTCTATAGTTCATTAATCTGCGTGTCAGATACGATGTTAAATTATTTTGGTTCATATTTCATGGATACGATCCTTTGTTTTAAAGGCACATCTGGTGCTGTCTCAGTTTCCAGGGCGCTGCAGAGAATCACTGAGCAGTGCAGACTCCAGCACAGAATTTAGGTCAGAATAGCTGAGCAGAGCCTTGACTACAGGCGCTAGTCTCCAAATCAATACCTTTTCCAGGACATTGACTACGGAAGCTTTTATCACTGTTACAAACTCGAACATTCCAGCCTGTAGTTCACACGTAAGAGCTAAATCTTCCAGTGAGAGGCAGAGAAGCTTGTACAGTAATTGTTTCAGTAATTCAGTTACCCTCAACATCAAATACAGTCTGCTTTGGTTTAGTGGGCTGACGTCTACAGTAGAAAACCCATGTCACCAAGACACCCCGAGTTATGCCTAGAGTTTATTATCACAAGGTGTCTGTGATAACAGCCAAGGCAAAATGATCACACAAGCACTGAGCAAACAGGTGGAGTTCACTGACCTGGTCATATGTCAACAATTTCTGAAGCTCATTCTTACTGATCAGATTTTTCACCTCACTGGCATCAGGGAGACAAAGCCTGTAGTTCAAGTCTCCTAACCAGATGACAACACTGAAAACAAAGACAAACACGGAAGAGAAGAGCCAGAAGTTAGTACCATAAGCTACACAGGAAAGAAGGGAGGACAGCTGGCTGCTGGTGATTAAGGTTGAGACACACGGAACAACAGCAGACTTGAAAGACTGACTCTGACAGTAGAAATTTCTAGTGGTGGCAAATAATGAAAATACTAATTCCATCTCCCTTGGAATCCCACATGGGATTGAAGACTCAGTTTAAACGAGAGATGCTTGAGTTTGACTTGGTCTGGGAAAAAAAAAAAAAAAAGCCTTGAAAACCTCACTACTGTCTACTGAAATAAAATCAGCGTATCTCAGCTGGCTTCACAGTTTCTCAGGCCACAAGAAGCCCATTTACTGTGCAGGCTTTTCTTTGGTGCAAAGGAGGGGAAGGACAGAGTCCATTCCTGCTCATTAACCAGCTACGCCAGCTTATGTGCCTGTATCTGTGCATTCACACCTCATATGATACTATGATTTTCCTAGTCTGTTTCCCACTACCTTTTTTTGTAAATCAAATCAGGCCAGTACTTTAACACCTACCTAGCAAAGACTGACTGGTCTAAAATAGGCAAGAGCAGAGTTAAGCTCCCTTGGAGTTTATGATCTGCAGAATTTTATTGTGCTGTCTTTTCCATCAGCCACATCTCTGCGTTCATCAGCACCTGCTCTTACTCAGTTCTTCTCTGGGCTTTCAAACAGACCTACAGCTTTCTGATTGTCAGCAGCTAAAGAACTAACACTAGTGTGGTACGCTCTCCCTTTACTCCATAAAGGTTTCATTCAAGGATTAAAATCTAAACCCCTTTCCAGTATCAAAGCTCCTCCTGTTTACAGTCAACGCTCAAAATTTCCACTAGTGGATTAGCAAGTATAATCTAATGTTTGAAGGTTTTTCTGCATTAATCCAGTCTACTTTTTATTTTCAATTTTCAATAGTTCAAATATTAATATAGAATACAGAAGTATTAATCATTCGCATATAAGTTTATGAAAACTTAATTTATATGCTTTGCTGCACACATTTTGGCTTTATTTGGATTATTCAACATCACTGCCACTCCAGAAAAATCAAGTGGCACCTGTATATCGTCTGGTTCACTTAAAAAGAAATTGAAATAGCAATCGTAAGCACTTGTTGCTGAGAAAAGCTTAAAAAGCACTCCACGTAGTGCTTCTCTCTGTCCTGCTCTTCCTCTCCTTCCACAGTTCATACTCCATTTCTCATCACAACCACTGCCCCACTTTCTTCGAACCCTGTAACATTCGGCCAACTCACGAACGGTGCCTGCTGAAATAAAAGTACTATATATACAATACATGAGAAGAGGGCTGCTAGAGATGGGTCACGCAAGTCACCACAGCAAGAAGGTGACCCACTAGTTTGACTGCAGGAGCTCTAGCACACGAGAGACCTTGGCATTTTTAGTTGTATTGTTAACTAAGCCAGAAAATTTATCTGTGTTAAGGCTCCTGTTGCTGCAGTTTTCTTAGGCTTCAGGAATGGAAAACAGTGAGGAAACTTACTCATGTTTCATGATGTTGAGCTGAGGTAGACTGTCATCAGGAGTTACAAAAGTCATCCGAGCACAGATATCCTTATAATCCTGATTTCGCCGCTCAAAGTCCTCCACATGAGCAGCTAAGTGGGAATTGACAATGCAGAACGTCGTGTTGTGGAACACAAACCTCACAGCCACACCACCCTTGTTACCCTGGGAAGAGCAGGTATCGACAGGCGTTAGACAAGAATACACAAGAAGCACCAACGAGAGTAAGCGGATGGAATAGAAACATGAACAAAAAACAGACTACGCCTTTTCTCACTTGGACACAGCGGAGCAACAAATTGGCCTAGGTGACTCACCATCTTTCCCATGATTCCAGTGCCCACAGACTCTATCATGATATCTCTGATATTACTCAGCTGATCCTTCTTAGCAAATACAAGCAGCATCATCCCAACTAGACGGACCATTTGCACCTGCAAAAATAAAAGGTACCTTGAACTCCCAGAGAAGCAGTGGAAATGCACTTCTGATTTGCCTGTTCCACCTGATGTTCTGTCTCTCTGAGCCTTCCAATCCCCCACTGCGTTTTGTACTCAATCCCCGCTTGCAACACCACCCAAAGGACCTCCTTTTCCAAAGCTAGTTTTTGGAGGACAATCTATCATCCTCCAACAGCAGTTGGCTATTAGTGGTGCTGAGCTCGGTACATCTCCAACTCTTTGGTGTTTCTCTACAAACAACGCTGTCTCGTGAGGTAACAAAAACATAACAAATATGCAGAGTCTGTTCCTTAAGTCACAGCCTTTTATACTAAGTACTACTCTAATCAGCGAAACAACTAGACGTTGAGCAGGCTAGTTACACACGTCACAGAAGGCTTCCTGTTATGACTGCCACAGAGGGCTGTGGGTTCAGCTGAGAGTATGTGCTCATCTTTGCTTACTCAGAGCTACAGCAAAACCAGTGGATTATATCCGAGAGAAATGGACAGAAAAGTACATAATTCCTGAGGTCAAACATGCCTCACATAGAAGATAACACAGGGATGCTGCCTTTTGATATATGAACTGTCTGCTTTTCAGAAAACATTTCCTCTCTAATGGAAAGCACCTCTTTCTGGAGATGAGGTTCTTCCACAGGGCTCAACCGACAGATGTTAACACAGTGCCAACATACGCTGTCCCAGCAGTGATCTCAGTTCTGCCACTGATTCTTTGACACATGCTACACAACTGCTCTTCTGTTTGTGAGCTTCCTTCAAAACCAAGGCTGGGTTCCCCCACCTCCAAAGCCAGGTACAAGGCCTAATCACCTTGAGCACACAGCCTACTGGCTCACTACAGGAGTGTAAAAACATTAAAATTTATGGGGATTAAATCTGTGTAGTGAGGGAAGAAGCTTAAATCATCCCCACAGCACTACACTGGAAGAGCCAGAGCGCTCAGTATACTCGGCAGGACTGAAATTTGCATGCAACCACGAGTCTTATCTACAGTTTCAGTCACTTCCCCCTGCCTGCAGCTGTATCATGCTCTCGCTCTCTCCCTTTCACAAGGGTGAGAAAAATTTGCCTGACAAAAAATTCAGTAAAGCAAAGGCACAGGAACATCAGCTTCTCTTCATTTCAGGTCATGACCCCTAGCTTCCTCTTTTTGAATCTCAATCCAGCAAGGTGCTCTGTTCCTGCTTTTGGCTATCTGTGTTACATGCCACTGAGCTCAACACAAAGCAAGCAGCACAGGTATGCGACAGACAAAGCATAAGCTAACGGAAGAAGGGGAAACTGGTTGATGTACTTAGGGCTGCTACCTGCAGCAGAAAGGCAAATTTGCTACAGCACAGCAGAAAACCAACTGTTTACTCCCAACTAGTCAGAATAAAGTCCAGCTATCGCAACTGCAGTAACTCTATCCAAAGGTAGCCTCCTCTGGAAGATTGCTCTCGATATAAATTATTCCATTCTTTCACAGAAAAGCTATTCATTTAATTTACAGCTCAAGATGCATCTTGTTTCTACAGTACAAAGATGTGAGTTCAAATTCTGTGTTACTCTCACTACTGTGATTTTATTGAGCACATTATTTTCCTCATACCTGCCTCTTTTACTTTTAGAATTATTCTGATTTCTGTCTTTATGAATTTCTACTTCAAAGTAAAACATTCTTCTGTGACTGTGAGACAGAAAGAGGCTCTCCAGAGTATAGGATACTCAGGTGCCAAGTACACATCCTTGAGTCCTCTGTTCTCTGCTCTTTCGGTTAGGTGAAGAAAGGGCAAGCCCATTTCTGCTTTCTTTCCAATCAGGCTAGCTCTGTGACAATAACCCCATATAACTGAATAGGACTCACTTTCTTATACTTAGCCTGA